CGACATGCACGATACCTTGTGTTTCCAGGATTCAAAATACCATGTTCTTATGAAACTTGGAATCAAACTTGTGATTTCCTTTTAGCTTTCAACTCCCATTCGTGTTTCTCATCAAAAGCCTCCTGACTGTCACCTTGGAGCCTGGATATGGTAATAACCAACCATTTCATGGTGGAGTTTTGGGTGAGCTGTCACACATGTTGAGACTCTTTGGTGCTGTGGTGCATCTTCTTTTCTTCTGGCTGTCATCCTTCTCCAGGCCCAATGGAAATGCAGGTGGTCAGGACCACAGTCCTGTTTTCCCTACAGTGCCGCTGGTCAAGGCAGCTTGTTTGCATAGGGATCTGTTTTCAGCTGATGTCCACCATGTGGTTTCCACTGTCAATCCTGCCCTCTTTGAAAATTCTAGTAAATACAACGTATAGTTAGAGGGGGCTTGGAGCAACCTGGTCTGGTGGGAGGTGTCCCTGCCCAGGGCAGGGGGTTGGAACTCGATGATCTTTAAGGTTCCTTCCGACCCAAACCATTCTATGTTTCTGCTCTTGTACTCACAGTGTCGTTGCTTTGATGAGGCATCTTAGGTTTATTGTGCTGTTTTGGAGAATTTCACGTCTTCACACTGCCGATACCGGGTATCACTTTCTTGTTGCACCTGGTCTTCTCAGTAGTCAAAAAGACAGGACTACTCATTGTCATCCTGGATCTTGGAGATTTCTTGTTGAAACTAGGGAAGGATGGTTCAGAGGGTTCTCTGAGGGCTTTTGTGGTCCTCTCAGAGGAAGATGGAATTCTGCACTTTGTTGATGCAGCACTATCAATCACAATTATGGACATTATACCTCTTCTATAAAGGGGAAAAAAATAATTCAGATCTTCTCTTTTGGATTGGGGCCAAACGTTCAGAAGATGTCTAGCAGCACTATATTTTAATGAGAATGGGTGTGCGTGCATTTCTTCATCTGGAATATTGACTTGTTGGAGATGGTATTCTGGAAAGGATCCAGAAATCATATTCTGGTGATTCAGTCTGTTGCTGGACATAGATTTGTCCCAGAATGCAGTTGTAAATATTGTATTAGCTCCTACCCAATTCAGGACTTTCCTACACCGGTTCCTACTGTGTCTCTCTGTGAGGCAGGTTTAACAGAAGCTGATTTTTCTTTTCCTGCTGAAGTCTGGCTGCTCATCGCCTCTTCCACTCCCAAACTTCTCAAGTCTGGATTGAAATAAGGACATATTTCCTTCCTCCTACTCAGAATTCATCAAGATTGATTTTTTTTTCCCCAGTCGCAATTAATTAATTGCCTAAGTAACCTGGAGAAGGGGCAAGTGTTGAATGCGTTCTAGACCTCTCAGGTTGGATCTCCAGAAGATGGTTTGATGGGGGATAGAAATCAGTGTTTGGCAAAGTGTTTGGCAAAAACTTCTCAACAATTTTACAAGTTTGAGATTTACTTCATACCAGATACTCTTCCATGTGGTCATTTACCTGAGTGGAATGGAAAATAGGATCATAAATAAATTAGAAACGGAGATTAGGTCCTCTGGAAAATACCAAAATTAGATTTTCTGTTCATGAGAGCTCTATAAATAGAATAGTTGTCTCACATCTGAATTAAAAATCTATCCATGTGCTGCTTAACACATAGAATATGATTTCTACCAGCGAGGGAAGACTCTCCCAGCCACCGAGGGAAAAGCTTGTGTATCTCTCTTTCCCCTATTGCAGGAGTAAAAAGTTTCCAAAAAAAAAATATTGCCTGAAATGAACTCCTGCCTTAGAAAATCCAGTGTATCAGAATGTTCCTGCAGGTCAGGCTGATGGCATTCTGCTTTTATCTCAATGACGGTAAGATTTTGCGTGGAAGGTCATTCCCAAGTGGGAGGAATGGCCAATCTGAAGACATTCGGGTATTACCTGGTCCATCTTAAGCTACATTACAACTAGAGAGACAAACATTAAGTGTGTCTCAAAGTGCAGCGACAGAGTTTTGCTTCAGTGAGCAATTTTTCAGCCACCATTATTTAAGAGGCCCCATGTATTTTTAAGTACGGTGGGCATCCGTCTTGTGTCATCTGAGTGGTATGGATTCTTCCATTAAAACCACGTAGGAATGGCTTTGTGGTGGTATTTCTTAAAACTGTAGCTTGGTCTTTAGGGATTTTCCTAATATTTAAATCATTGCAGTGGTTGGAAGGGACCTTTAAGATCATCTCCAACTCTGATAAAACCCATCACTAAACCATGTCACTGAGCACTATGTCAACCCATCTTTTAAATACCTCCAGGGATGGTGCCTCAACCACTGCCCTGGGCAGCCCATTCCAAGGTTTGATAACCCTTTCTGTGTAAAATTTTTTCCTGATAGCCAATCTGAACCTCCCCTGGTGCAACTTGAGGCCATTTCCTCTTGTCCCATGGCCTGTTCCTTGGGAGAAGAGACCAACCCCACCTCTCTACACCCTCCTTTCAGGGAGTTGGAGAGAGCGAGAAGGTCTCCCCTCAGCCTCCTTTTCTCCAGGCTGAAAACCCCCAGCTCCCTCAGCCGCTCCCTCACAAGACTTGTGCTCCAGACCCCTCACCAGCTCCGTTGCCCTTCTCTGGACCAGCTCCAGCACCTCAGTATCTTTTTTTGTGGTAAACTATGTTTTACTGTTGGCTTATTAACAAAAATAGCAAAATACTAAAAGGAAAAAAAAAGTGCACACACCAGCTCCATTGCCCTTCTCTGGACCAGCTGCAGCACCTCAATATCTTTTTTTGTGGTAAACTGTGTTTTACTGTTGGCTTACTAACAAAAATAGCAAAATATTAAAAGAAAAAAAAAAAGTGCATACACGAAAAATCTTTTTAAAGTGTCATCTCAGTAGGTCATGTACATCTTGATGAGTAAACATGTGCTTAAGAGAATCTTTTCTCTTACGTTCCGTTTGGGAGGCATGGCCAGAGGTGGCTTCTCTCCAGAATCTGGTAGCCAGTAGTAGGACAGACACATTGGCAGAAAACAAACTTACTAACCATAGCTGTGGTTTTCACTCATCTCCACCAATAGGTTTGCTGTTATTAACTTCATCTTAATTTCGAGTAATTTCTGAGCAACTTGTCTGATTGTTTGTCAGCTTTTCATTGAAAAATCCATTTTCCACCAATAGGTTTGCTGTTACTAACTTCATCTTAATTTCGAGTAATTTCTGAGCAACTTGTCTGATTGTTTGGCACCTTTTCATTGACTTTTATGGAGAAGTTGTCTATAATTTGGAATTTTGTATTTCTGAGGCCGGGGAGGGCATGGGTGCTGGTTTCTCAGGCACATACGAGGTGTTTCCCAGTCCTGGGGGTGTCAAGATACAGAGCATTTGCAGTTCCTGCCCAGTCTGAGATGTGAAACACAACCCAGTAAGTGGGAATACAGTGGGATGTAGATTTTCGGTGCAGGGTTGGGGTTTTGTTCTTCAAGTGCATATCTTTTTTTTTGTTCTGAAATGCTGCCTGGAGAAATGTACTTGTCATGAAACAGCTTTTATTGCTTGGTTAAGATATTTCTCATCACAGCAGAGTAGGATATCCTCTGCTTTATGATTACAATTTGTTCTTTATCTTTTTTTTTTTAAATTTATTATTTAATTTCTGTACTGAAATGTGATAATGGTGCCTGGGAGAGAGGGTGGGGTCTTTCTTCTTGTGAATTGAATGCAGTGCCTCGTGTACTGTGTTAATTTTGTACCTTTTTGAGTTGTCATAACGTTACAGTACTTGAAAAATGGTATTTTAAGTCACAAATGATGTAAAGATTTGATTCTGTTCTTACCTGTTAACAGCATAGTTGCACATCCCTTTTTCAAATAGTATTTTTTTAGAAAAATGGTTAGTTGCTACTTTCTGATAATCAATACATTCTGATCTCTGTCCTATGAGCTATATTTGCAGGGCAGTTGAGAATGGAAAACTATTTTATTGCATCAAAGCCATAGTTAAATACATTTATAATTATACAATTTTATATACAAGCTGTATATAATTTTAATACATGTTTTTAATGTTTTTTCTCCAATGAATTGCAATGAATAAAGTAGAAAGGCGTCATTCAAGGCAATTTCACTTGCTTTAATTCTCCCCGTCTCCTTTCATGTGGTTTTTGTGTATGACCACTGCCAATTCCAGACTCTGCCTTAAGTGAAAGACAATGAATAATTTATTTCATCCTTCACTTTTGGCAAAGGGGGCTGAAGATACCCAAAACTTTGTTATTCTCTCACTTTTTCCTTGTAACCCCCTCACAGTAAATCCACCCAGTTGGTCTTTCTTTTCATGCCGAGTGATAGATACGATTAGACCACCCCAATTTACACTTTTTTATAAATTGTTGGGGGTTTTTTGTCTGCTAACCTGCCTTGACCATAATGTATTTTGCTCATTAGATTTTATCATAAGCATCATCATGACTTGTAATCGTCATCATTATATTTTTTCTCCAGGAGTCAAAATAATGCTTTAAATGGTAATTCTCCCAAACCCTGTTAATGAAATAGAGATGGAAATAGAGGAGCATGAAGTTCACATCTACATCTAGATCATGTACTCACGTTCTTTCACGCAACATCATTCATGTTTCCCATTGATCCTTCTTCCCAGTAGTTAATTTCATACTGGTCCATAACTAACTATATTAAGTTATGGTTGCTTTTAGGTTTATGCTAATCAAAACATGTGATGAATTAAATCCTCTTATACCCCGACTCAGAGAAATTTAAGGGAAAAACGTGTGTATAGTTAAATCATTTCTGATGAGATATGTCACAACACATAGTGTCTGAAGTAGCTTGATGGAAGATTCATTCATATTTTAAAAGTGCTCGGGCCTGGATGCTCAAAACATTTTCTTTCTCGTTCATAGGTATCAAACATTCCTGGTTTGGATTGACCTGGTTGCTTGATGGCTTCGATGACTGTCTCCCAACAGTGAATATTCTATTAATAATTTTGTTCTTTTGTGTTGCAGGGGGTTCAGGACCATCATCATCGATAGCCATAGCTGGCACCAGCCAACCTGCCATCACGAAGACAACATCTGTGCTTCAAGACGGTGTTATAGTCACTACTGCAGCTGGAAACCCTCTTCAGAGCCAGCTGCCCCTTGGGAGCGAATTCCCTTTCGCTGGCCACGAACACTCGCTTCATTTTCCGCAGAACAGCTCTTCAAACAACAATCTTCCACATTCTTTGAATCAAAACCTCCTCAATTCTCTACCTATCTCTTTGCCAGTGAATCAGCAACATCTCCTAAACCAGAATCTATTAAATATACTACAGCCTTCAGCAGGAGAAGGCAAGTCTGAGGTCAACCTCAACCCTTTAGGTTTTCTCAACCCGAATGTAAATGCTGCTTTAGCTTTTCTCTCCGGTGACGTGGATGGGCAGGTATTGCAGCCTGTTCATTTTCAGCTTCTAGCAACCCTCCTTCAGAACCAAGCCCAAGCAGCTGCCATGCTTCCCCTACCATCTTTCAATCTGACCATCTCAGACCTGTTGCAACAGCAAAATAACCCTTTACCCTCAGTAACACAGATGCCGGCCCCACCTGACCATGTGCCGAGCAATCAGGCAGAGAGCAACAGGGTGGAGACCCTTTTAACCAACCCCCTGGGCAACCCCATACCCAGCTTTTCAGGCACTGACACTACTTCTAACCCCCTGCTCCTCCCCGCTGTCTCTGGGGCCTCAGCATTAATGGCCTTGAATCCCCAGCTGGTGGGAGGTGTCCTCAACTCCGCATCGGGCAACACCGCTAATCATCCAGAGGTTTCCATAGCCACCTCCTCCCAAGCAACCACTACCACAACCACTACATCATCAGCAGTGGCAGCACTGTCTGTCTCAACCCTGGGTGAAAAAAAAAAAAAAAAAAAAAAAAAAAAAAAGGAAGAGGGTTGGGGAGGGGGAATTTCGGATTCTAGTTTCTATTTTTAAAGGCTCCATTTTATCATACTTCTTTTTTTTTTTGTGAGGCTTTTGTATGTTACAGGTTATTTATTTCTCTTGAGCAAAACATAAACTGTCATCGTAAGAAATTTAAAATACGTTCTAATTTACCTCAGTAACGTTCGATACTGGTTTGGGAAATTATTTCATATTCCATTCTTAATCCTGATGCCACCTTAGACCTACTCTCTCCACCTTAAAAATTCCCTAAAGCAATTGGACTTGTTTCCTTTTCCCAAAGCCCAGGTGCGTCTCTGGGATGCAGCGTTGCCTTTCAAGTGCGTGTGGCATCACAGGGTTAGTGCGAGTGGCTGCGCAGTAGGTGACAAATGGCCAAGGGCTTTTTTCCAAACTAATCAAAAAGGGCCAAAACCCTAAGCACACCCCCCGAAAAGTAACCCAGAAAGCACTCGAAGCAGGTCCTTGCGCCAGTTCAAAGAGGAAGGTTGCTCTTCCAGCCCTTTATTGTGTATTTGGATTTTTTCTCATTTGTCTTTTAGTTTTTTTATTTTAGCTTGTAGCTTAGAAACCCAAGGAATCTCACTTGACAAACACCTACATCCCAAAACAAGTGATTAAAAAGCCCTTAAATACAAGGTGTTTTTCTTTCTCCAGGGTCTGTTGATGATTTTTACCAAGAGTATGTAATACAGTTAATACCCCTCTGTTGTTTGATCTACGTAATCTAATAAATAGACTAATAGGAAGAATTAAATAGTGGCAAAGAGCTGTATTTTAATGTAATACCTCATACTTACCTACTAAATGGCTACCGTGAACTCAACCCCGCTTTACATTTTTCCATGTAAAATACAACTAACCAGTGATCCTGCAAATGGCAATTTTTAAGAAAAACATGAGCTTTTAATTTTTAAAAAAAAAAAAAAGCAAACCAGGAAATGGATACATTTTTAAGCTTTATTATTTCATAAAGTCAGGTTCGACAGCGTATTTATTATACTGGAACTATGATTTTCATGTAAAGTGAGATTTTTGCGTAATACAAAAATTTAATACAGTTGTTTCTCTAGAATATATTAAAAAAAATTGTTTAGAGTGTTGGCTGACGTGTGTGTGAGCCAAAAAGCCTTTGCTCACGTGCAGTGAGCTCGCGTTATTTTGTAATAGTTAATGAAAAAAAAAAATAGTTTTGTTGAGTTTTTTAAACTATTTTCTCTTTCTCTCTCTCTCCTCCTCCTCCTCCCCCTCACCACCCCAGTACTGTTTGAAGCAATCACTCTTTGGAAACTTAAGAGTGAGATTCCAAGACACCGAATATCCTAGAAGCTCACTCTGCCCTACTTGGCTGTGTCCCCTTCCAAAGGCAAAGACAGTCATGGCAGAAACCTTTAGAAAGAGTCCAGATAGATGTGACATGCAAAAGAAGCCATACTGAAGAACTAAAGGAATAAAGAGTAGGAGACACATGCCTTGAGGACCATTCCGTAGAAGATTGAAGGGGAAAGGAGTTGTTTGACAGAGGCATTTGCTTAGCAGTCAGTTAAAATTTGAGTCGGGGAAATTCCTCCTGGCTGTCGAAAACTACACTGACTCGTGTTTCCTTGTGTTTGAATTACAGGTGACATGTCATCTATAAACACTACTTTGAATAACCATCAGCTGAGTCATCTCCAGTCGCTCTTAAACAACAATCAGATGTTTCCTTCAAATCAGCAGCAACAGCAGCAGCAGCAGCAGCAGCACCTTCTCCAGGGGTATCAGAACATGCAGGGCTTTCAAGGCCAGCCCCCAATTCCTGGCCCGGCCAACAACCCAAACCCCATGGCGTGTCTCTTCCAAAATTTCCAGGTAGAAAGCACAATTAAATCCATACTCAAAACAAATGTGCAACTCTCAGGAGGTAAAATTATATCCTCCAGGGTCTGGTGGCTTTGCTGCGTGATTGAGCCAATATGGTACATACAATCCCTTGTCTCTTTCAGGAGTTTGGGGATTTTGCAAATCAGTAACATTTGTTGCTGAAATTTTATACTTTCTTCCTTAGAAATAGACTGTAGTTGCTTTAGAAAGAATGACTCTGCGTGGATTGAAAAAAAAAAATGCTATGTTTGTTATGACATTTACTAGTCATTCTTAGCAAAACTATTTTCCATTTTGCAGAAATGATCATAAATTCCCCTTTAGACCACTCTAACAATTCCGTGGGGAGAAATAAATATTGATACCACTTTCTAGTAATTAGAAACTAGATAAGTGATTATAAGTGACCCTGTGTGCCAGTCCTCTTATATTCCCACTGACGTTGGGTGAGAGAGCTAACTGATGTGGATTGTACAGACTGAAGGAAACGGGCATTAAAATGAATATACAATGACAAACTGGGCAAAAATGATACCTAAATAGACAATTCTTCATAATGCGAGTTGAACTGTTGAACTAACATACTGACAGGAAATGTAGCAACCAAAATAGGTAACAAAACCAGAGTTAAAATGCATATTTATTATGATTCACTATTACCCTGGTTGCTGCAGAACTCAAGACGGAGGCTGCAGATAGTGCCAGAAACTGCTTTTACCCTTTAAAAAGGAAAAAAGAAGACGTGTCATTTTCTCAGTGTAGATGTTTCAGGGCTATTGCAAAATCACAGTCCTCTAACTGCCCACTATCTCTCTTGGTTTTCCTGTGAATTTCGGTAGCTTTATCTCGGTATTTTTTGCTTCAGATTCTCAGTTGTATAAACAGTAATGGTAAGTATTTAAAGGAGCTTTGGGGAAACATTTTACCCTTGTTTTTTATATTATTATTTTGTTGTTATAGCATTATTATTGACACCGTCTTCACCGCCTACGTATGTGACAAGAAATATAAAAAGCAGAGTTGCTTTAATCTGAAGGTTCCAGTTTGCTGTGGCAGTGCCTGGCGTTAGAGCTGCAGCGCAGAGGGATGCAGGGCTTACAGGGGACTGAAGGAAAAAGAGATCCCACAAGAGAAGGACAAAACCAAAAGGGAAAAACCAGAAATGCTAGCCAATTCCGAAAGGAAAGCGATGGCCTCCGTTCCAGAAGTCGAACGGGGAGCATATGGGGAGCCCAGAGGAACACTTGGTAGGGAGGAAAGAAGGAAAATTAGGGTCTGGGAAGGAAGGAAAGAGAGCAGTTGAGAAGAGAAATGTTGACCTTGGTGGAGTTGTTTAGGACTTGGGAGCAAAAAGGAGGGTGCTGGACTTCCATCGGAAGAAGAAATCCCTGAAATTACTCTGAAGGAGATGGTAATGTAGTTTCAGCAGTGCATGGTAGGCTGTATCAATTCATGCAAGGCAACTGTTTTGATCCACGAAGCAAAGTCTAAAAGCCAGTGGTTTTCTTTTCCTCTAAATCAGGCTTTTTTTTCTGTTTTCTCTCTCCAGCTGGTGCAGCATTAAACTTCATAAGTGATGTATAACCAAAATAAATTATGTGCCATAACAAAGAGTCACCCTGGCCACCATCCTCATTTTTTTTATTAAAGTGAAACAGAGTTTGTCTGTTGAAATGCAACTTTGGGCAGAAGAGTAGCAATTTCCATCTTTTTCTCTGCTTTTTTTATTTTTTTCCAGGTGAGGATGCAGGAAGACGCTGCTGTCCTAAACAAGAGAATGATCACTCAAATGGGAATGGCGCCGGTTCCTGAGAGCTCCAACACTATGCTTCCTCCTTTCCAAGAAACATCTTGTGATCTGCAGCAAAGGACTGAACCCTCTCTTGGACAACAGGCGAAGGACAACCTCAACCTCGCTGCTCAGGGTGATACGTCGGTGGACGCCATCTACAAAGCGGTTGTAGATGCTGCAAGCAAAGGAATGCAGGTGGTGATCACCACTGCCGTTAGCAGTACAACACAGATGAGTCCCATTCCAGCTTTGAGTGCCATGAGTGCCTTCACAGCCTCAATTGGTGACCCGTTAAATCTTTCTAGTGCTGTCAGCGCGGTAATCCATGGAAGGAACGTTGCCGTTTCTGATCATGAAGGTAGGATAAGGAACAGTAGAGGAACGCGAATCCTGAAGAATTCAGAGCACGGTAAAAATTCAAGTGAAGGGGATGGGTATGAATATTACAAATCAACCAGTTGTAACACACCCAAAAAACAGTGGGAAGGGGAGCAAAGTCCTGTCAGTGAGATAAATAGATGGAAATGTGATGAGTTTCTAGACCACTCTGCCCATATCCATAGTAGTCCTTGTCACGAAAGGCCCAATAACATCTCCACACTGCCATTATTGCAAGGCGAGCAGCATCAGATACTGTTATCACAGCGAAACTGTCAAAGTGATAAAATGTTGGAGGAGAATTTCAGGTATAACAATTACAAAAGAACTATGATGAGTTTTAAGGAAAGACTGGAGAACACTGTGGAACGATGTGCACACATAAACGGCAACAGGCCTCAGCAGAACAGAGGATTTGGGGAGTTGCTGAACACTTCTAAACAAGACCTGATTCTGGAAGAGCAATCTCCAAGTTCCTCAAACAGCTTGGAAAGTTCGTTGGTTAAAGACTATATCCATTACAATGGAGATTTTAATGCCAAAAGCATTAATGGGTGTGTGCCTAGCCCTTCGGATGCTAAAAGCATCAGTAGTGAAGATGACCTAAGGAACCCAGACTCCCCTTCTTCAAATGAGCTGATACATTACAGGCCGAGGACGTTTAATGTTGGCGACTTGGTCTGGGGCCAAATCAAAGGACTGACTTCATGGCCTGGAAAACTAGTAAGAGAAGAAGAAGTTCACAATTCATGTCAACAAAACGCTGAGGAGGGGAAGGTATATTTATATATATCTATGCACATATCTATCTGTCTATATGCACATGTACCTATGCCCATACAAGTGTTTATCAAACCTATCTCGGTCCATTCTTTATTTTATTCTTTGTCTCTTATTTTAATAGTGCAAATTGCTTTTTTTTTTTTTTCATAATTATAGCTTGCACAACTGAATTTTTCCCATAGTTATCTGAGATACTTCTACCCATGCCATGAAACAGATTATATATTTGTGCACAAAAGACTTGCTACACAAAAAATATTGTTAATGAAAAATTGTTTAACTTACTTTGTGGATTTAGTTGAACTTCTGGTCGTGTCCAAAGAAACTGATATGGGGATATCTCAAAATGTTAAAAACTGCAAAAAAGGAAAACCAATCTAATCAGGTTGAGGGGTCTGTAATAAGTAAAAGCTCTCTGATTGACACGTACACTCTTATTTAAGAAGAAACGCATGTGCATTTTCACCTTGAAAGCAGGTTTTGACCATCTTTTAATAGTGAGGAAAGCACTCCAATTTACTCTTTCACACTAAATTCCTTTTTTTATTGACAAATCATATGCTTGTTGGGGAATGTACAGAAAATACAGTTGTCAGGAGTTATTGGTTATTTTATTATGATAAATATTTCAAATTTTAGTCTCCCCTATTTGAATAATATTTTATTTTTTGAGTTCTTATAAAACATTTCGCATCTTCCATATATAAATACTTTGAAGTGCCATTTTATAAAAAGCAAATTTTAAAAATATGTGAGCAGAAAGGAAAGACATAATGAAATAACGTTTTACCTCTGGCACTAAGAAACCAAACCATTTAAAAATTAGGTCTTTTTCCCCATAAACCTGCCTAGTACGTTGCACAACGTTTGTAAGAACCTAAGAACGGTGATAGTGCGTTGGGCAAAAGTATCCCTTTCCCCTAAATGTGGCCAACAGCAGATATCCAGAGGAGAGAAAGTCCAAGAAGATGTTGATGAGGGCTTCTTCATCAACAGCCTCCCACCGGTGAGGCTGGAGGAACTTCTTGAGCTGGAACTGGTGTCTCTGTGGTGGAACCACTGCTGGTCTTAGCGCAGGTTGTGATCGTAGGGTGACCTGAGGCTGATGTGCAAATGTCATTTCCCCAAACAGTCCAACGAGTCTTTGATGAATTGGTGCTGTAAATAACCAGGGTGATGTTTGGCCAGCGTGGTTTCAACCCTGGTTCAAGAGAACTTTAGTCTCTATTTGCCAGTGGCAAATCTCTTGGCCACAAAGGTTTCAAAGAGCTCCCTTCTGCGTACGCTGAACCCAAGTATTTACTTTATGGAGAAATCACTAAGCTTTAATAATAATATTTGAATGCCTACGAGCTCATTCCTTAGAAAGGTTAGATCCCCAAGTTACAAGTCAGTTTATAAAGTATAGGCAGAGGAGATGGATGACAAAGTATAAAAGATAAAACTGGAAGAATTAAGAGGTGTACAATATGAGTTACAAATTTGGTAATTACCCTGCACATATATTCCAGGTATATGCATTTTTGTATTAACTTCTCAAAATTGTATATCCATGTCTGTTTGATTGTTCTGATATATTTGAAGAGCTTATGGTTTATAACTTTTGTAAAGAGGTGAAATATTTTTTTTTTCCATTTGCATTCCTTAGCAATTTCATAAGTTTACTCCCCAGTTTGCGGCTACCAGAATGTAGAGTGGCTTTCGTGGAAACCCACCTTTAATTTTGTGTCTCTTATGTACATTATAGAAGCATTGTGTGATATTATATTCAGTAGCACAGGTTTTTATTGTTTTTATATTGAAACCCAAACAGCAGGGAAGCATGTGCAGTGCTGTCAAGGCACTTGTGGAGGCAGCAAGAGAGACTGCTTCAAGTTCTTCATCAGGAAGTCCCACGTAATGGACCACCTCTCCCATCAGAAGGCTTTTAATTTAATAATAATAATTTTAAATCTAAAAAAAAAAAAGTCTAATTTTTTCCCAGTAAGAAGTACAGAGTGAATGACCATTCCAGAGGTCAGGAGTTGAGATTGAAAGGGGGGATACAAGGAAATACGGAAGAGGTGAAAATGTAAAAATTCTACATAATGGTTGTGTTTTTAGTTGAAAATAGGCAGGAACTCCCGTGCACCTGTACTCGTGTTCAGACACTCCTCTAACATGCTGTACGGCTACATTCTTTAGATGTTTGGGCAGACTGGTCTGAAGAAAGGTAAAAAAAAAAAAGCAAAACCAAAACACACCAAACCAAAAAAAAAAAACCAACCCAAAAATCCTTGAAAACTAAAAAGAAATAACCTTGCAAATCAAATGGTCTTCAGAAATTCTGCGCTTCAGAAAACCCTGAAAAGTTTCAATTGATGGTGGGAGTCACAGCAGCAGTTCTGAAAATTGTATTTTCTGCAGAGCTTTCTTAAAACATCTTTTAAAGTATTTGTATAATCAAATATTGACCTCCTATATTGTAACATTAGTTTTGCTATGCTGTTGGGATTTCATGGCACTTTGTATATGCTCTGTTCTTTATATCATACATAATTTAATTTTTTGTTTCCATTTTAAAAGACTTTGGGTATTAAAAGCAATAATGCCTCTGTTTGAAGAGCAGCTAGAACGGTGTTTCCTGAACAGGAGAAAGGAGGAATATTGCACTTTTGTTTCCTAATGAACACTTGCTTTTTGGCTATTGGAAAATGGAAGAGGAACCCAAGGGGAGCGCACCGGTAGCAGCAGAAATTCCTGAAAAGGGAAGAAGCAAGCCTGGAGCTACGTGCGTCCTAAAACGGAGGATGTGTATTTCATTAAGTAATTGATTTGATTAATATCCAAATCCAATCACCCAAACGGGAACAAGGCTTTGAGAGCAGCAATGTGGAAGTCGAAGGGTTTGTGTGAGAAGTTGCCTGATGTTAGTGTGTTTCATGGTGATTCATATGGGCCAAGTATTGTCCTGGGTAGGACTTTCCAGCAGTCAAACTAGGGGTGTTAAACTGGGATTTTATAGTTCTACTGATAATAATAAGTGTGATTTCTCAGTGTCCTTGAAAGTCCCATTTGTATGTATTATTTAGTGATGTAATGGCTTATTGTAAATGAAGGTATATGATATTATTCATTCAAATATTTATCTGTTATAGTTCCTTCCAATACCATGTTACGTTGGCAATTTGATACTACTGCTTCCAAAAAAAGTGCTGGCAGGTTTTTTACTGTTCTAACCTCACAATTCCGGTAACGAAGATACTGATTCCTTTTTGTAACTTATGTCCCTTGTGACCCAAACGTGATATAACCCCTTTATAAAAATATTCACCATTGAACTTTCTCGTATATGTAATGGCAGACACCTACAGCCCTTTGCAGAATTTCTTCCTTTTATACATATATATATATATCAGGGATGTGGATAATGTATAGTTTAGCATTTATGGCAACTTTATCTCGTAGTAGAGTGTCCAAGGTAAAGGATCAAGATGATTATGTCACTGCTCTTTAATTCTGTTCAATTTGAAACAATGTAAGTTGATTTTTTTAGCTGTTTTCCAAACATTCTATAAAATGAAGGCCTGAGCTGTAGTGTATTGCAGACAGAGACACGTTGCCTCTGATAATTCCATTTTAACGGAGGAGACGTAACGTAGAAGCTTCTGAAGGTGTTTTGCTCATTTTGTGGGTCTCGTGGGCCTTTTCTTCTCATGTTTATGCCTAGAAAAGCTCCGCAGGTTTTAAATAGGTGGTATTTCTTATATATGCATTTATATTTTTCCAAAGTCTGATAAGGAGAAGAATTATTCCAGGTATTCGCAGACTTACGTGAAAAGCAAGCACAGTTTTAAGGGAAAAAATGAATGTATTTTATGAAAATAGACATCTTGCCTCCCCATGTGCAGGTTTCACCAATAATGACTCGTCTTGTAAGTCCCTGAAACGACTGCATTTCCCAATTTCATTGTCAGATGCATCAGTTCGAGACATGTGAAATTTGGTCTAAACATGTATTTATATTGGGCCTCATTTCCCGAGATTTTGATAACTTGCTCACTCATTAACTTCACGTTGTCACGTCTAAAATTCAGTTTCATTGCAAATATGAATTATTTAGCGATTGAAAGGGTAGGTTTAGAGGGAATTTGCATTTAAATTTCTTTTTTGGGATTGTATATAGGCGTGCTTAATAAATTTGTGTTTATAGAATTCATTTTCCTTGTGTCAGAATACAAGCTGTACTTTTCAATAAAACAAATGCTATATAAGGTTCTTGTTAAGTTATACGAAGATGAAAAAATGAGCAAAATGTCGAAATACTGACAAAGAAAAAGGAATTTATCCATTCATTTTCTTTGGATTGGTGTGTTTAAATACTTTTTTTGTTTGTTTTTACAAGCAGAAATGACTGAGCTAAATCAAAATGATATACAGAGCTAAGTGGCCTAATGTTCTGAGGATGCAAATGATGAAATCATACAGATGATATAATTAATTTTCTGTGATGTTTGTATTGTTTATACCAGAACTACCTGGTCCCTCTGCAGCGGTGCCAGTGCTTTTATGCAGTGATTTGTATTCAGGCTGCTTAAAAGATGATCATTCTGGTTGATTTCAAGAGAACTTAAATTTCCAGTTAAAGTGCTTTAAATACCAGCTCAGCCACCCTGTTGAGCACGGGCTCAAATTCATTCCTGGCTCGGCAGATCATTGAAATATGTGCTTTAAGTAAAAAAAAATAATAATAAAAAAGATCTTTCATTCCTGGCTCGGCAGATCATTGAAATATGTGCTTTAAGTAGAAAAAAATAATAATAAAAAAGATCTTTCTCAGGACTAATCAAAGCAAATTCTAGTTAAGAGATTTGTAATGCATAAATAAACTTGTCACTTGCCTGCCCCCTCTTTTAACTTAAGCTCATACCGTGGCTCTTTGGGAACAGGAATGAGTTTGGCCGTGCCATTAGTGGTGTTGTTGAGCCTTAAATGCTTCATCCTGAGATTGGAGGTGATGTGAAAGGCTTTGGTGTTGATGGCATCTGTAAAAATTGCATCGTATCTACTAGGCAGCCTGGGATTTTAATGCGTTCCAGGTGGTCTCAAAGTTGTAAAATACATTTGTAAACTGTGAGTACAGAACAGGAGTGTTCGTATTAACACTATAAAGACAAACAAGGTTTTAAAAATGTTATTTTCCCCTCTTAGTTTTGTTTTCTTCAATGTTGTGGCTTTGTTTTGTGCATTTCTATTGCTAGTGGTGTAGACATCTAGAGAAATTACAATATATATGTATATGTACGAGGGGGTGTGTATAGCCATACATTAATTTATTCTTTGCTGAGAAGGTTATAGTGTCGTATGGATGCAGTGAAAATTAGGCTCCGTGATAATGCATGTCTAGCAGTAAAGTAAAAGCAGTGTTTAATAATTGCAGGTCTGGGTAATGTGGTTTGGTGTTCATACCTTCACTCAGGTGGAGCCAGAGAAGTTGAAGACACTAACAGAAGGTCTAGAAGCTTACAACCGAGCCAGGAAAAGGAACAGAAAGTGAGTAAAGGCTCATTTATTTACTAGTGAAATGGAATAATTAAATTATTTTCCTTCCGAAGACTCTCATTCTGGGGAGTCGAGCAGATCAGCCAACCCGAAGAGTTAATTTTCTGAATTTCTTGCATTGGTTATGATAATCATCGCAGATCTTTGATATCTGCATTTTTATTGCATCTTCTGATATTTACAGTAGCCTTTGTAAAATGTCAGCCTGCTTGTTTGAGCTTTCATGTGTAGGATTTCCAATTTACAGCAAAAAAAAAAAAGTTATTACATCAAAACTATTCTGACCAAGTACGCTTTTTTTAACAAGATCTCCCCTTCTTATCTCTCCCCCTCTCCCTCTGGCAGCAGCTTTATTCAGATAAATTGGGTTTATTTCCCATCACAGAGGAGCATTTCACAATTTGTGAAGTTTGGCTGTATTTAAGCAGAGGAGGGGCTCAGGGCAGAGCTTTGTGTCAGACACCTGTGAGCTGTTTGGGTTTATCTACCCTTTTAGCTTCTGTTATGCAAGGACAGAAAGGCTGTGAAACAAGAAATACTAGGACAGGAGGGACCAGCGTAGATAAAAGAATGGTTGACTTAAGGAGAAAAACAAAAAAATCTGGACAGCTCTAAAAGGGTAGAAAAGTAGAACTTGTACTGTGGTTGGATTTGTGCTAGGATGCTGCTGCTTATTTACCGTGGCAGTGAAAATATATTACTTTGTGTGAGAATTGAAAGTCAGCTTGCAGCCCTTGTCTTTAGCACAATAAACGTAGGCTTAAGGGAATTAAATAATTATTTGTCTTCAACTCCTTTTAAGGTGCAAGCCTTTCTTCTATTTATATGTCACGCGGCGCTTAAGAGAAATATTTTTTTATGCCAATGAGACAATGTTGGTGGTTGTTTTTCTCCAAGATCATCCTCAAAAATATCTGACTGGGGTTTAAGGATGTGTGGTGAGAACATCGAAGGGCTTTTGGCAGCTCCCCAGATATTTGCTCCCTAGATATTTGATATTTCGCTGCAGCGAAATACGTGACTCAGGGAAGGTGACACCAGGAGCAAATTTAAAGAGGTGTTAAAGATGAAACAAACAGCACGATTTTAAGGAAAAAAAAAATAATTCTAATTTGCATTTGTATATTTAGCAGACTGCAAGGGTTGTCTGCAGTTCCACTCAATCCAATGGCCTTTTTTTGTGGCGCGTCTGGTTCTGCCCCGTTGGTTGCCCAGAAGGAATCAAATACCCCGGACACTGGGGCACCTGGTTGCCCCTTTCCTGGGGTTGCTTTACAGCCCTTGTGGGATTTTCCTCCATATTTCTACTTGTACTTATTTCGTATTTCAAATCTTTTTGGTATTTCTTCATAGACCCTTCCTCTTTTATCTGCATACTGTTTCAAATTTATTTCAAAATTTATTATTCTCCTTATGGTCTTCTCTCTGGTATGTACATGTCTCTGTAGTATCTTGTTCCACACCAGTCCAGATTTTTTAAAACCTTTAGCATTAGATATAACTGCTCCATGTAGAATATTCCTATTTCTGTTTCCTCCTTGTATAAGTACCAGGCACTTAGACATATTGAGGACTGGCATCAAGTTGAACACTTTAATAATAAAGAAGACATGGGTAAAGAAACCCACGAGGAATTTATGTTGAGGGGGCATGGAGTAGGTCCTGTGTGTTTAGCAGAGCAGGGTTAGTATCTGGGTCCTCCAAATGACACTCAGATACCTTAACCCCATAAATTATTCATTGTGTTCCTACAGTTCTTGTCTCAGCCCTAATATATTGTCCAATTTTGGCAGCAGATGTTACTTAGGGGACTACTGCAGTGGTCTCCTTCACTGCGCAGTCTGGAGTCAATCTCCAATAATTTGTATTTATATTGTATATTAAATATAAAATCATTAAAACTAAATTAAAGATAAGAAATGTCTGTAAAGCTAAAAGCTGTATTACAATAGGGTTGTAATAGGAAGCACCCTAAATCCAGTATTTGTGAATCATAATTCTTAATCTAACCTGAAGTATTAGTTTTTAAATGGGAATGTTTTGTGTATTGAGTTTCTTGGGTTTCTAAACAAGACACCAGAAAAAAAATGTGCCTGTAGCACAATTGATCAGCTTGGCCAAACGCGTGAGCTCTGCTGCACGGAGGTTTGTAACCTCAGTCAATAGCATGGTCTGAAGCATTTTGTGTAGCCCTTCACTAGAACATGTAAGGTGTTTTCCTTGGGGGTATCTGAGAGGCATGGTGTGACTCCTAAACTGTCCTATTTATTCTTGTAGGAAAATGCACTCTGGTACAAACACTGAGCCATCCCAACCTCATTCCATCTTCTCCTCAGCCGTTCTGTTCTTTTCCAAACCACGTCTGTCCTTGCTTCCGGCAGGTCATGATGTAGCAACTTTCTCACCTACCTGGTTGTGGTCTCTAGAAGATTATCTGCTGGAGGTCCAGTCTTCCCTTATCAGAGCCTCATCTGAGCCAAACTTTGCTCTCCACAAGCTTCATGGTTACCTGTATTCCTCTGCCCACTAGTGTTCTCCTGGCCCATTGCATGCAAAGCATCTTCCAAGGGTCATCACCCAATACCAGCATCTCCTTCTCCTGTGGTTTCCTGTGTGATATTTCCCCTCTCTTTCCTCAGGGATGTGCCATTTACCATCCCTACCGGTACCATCTCTACCACCCATACTGGTATTTCAAATTTCAGTTTGAACGTGGCTTCTTAGCGTTGAACAGTCAAGCTTCTGACGTCCCTCCTGGAATTTAAATCCTTCCCCAAAGCTGTTGGCCATGAGAGTTCTTCTACCCTCCTGGAATTTAAATCCTTCCCCAAAGCCTTGAGAGTTCTTCTCAGAGCTGATGTGCTGCTTTTTAATGAGAGGAACAAACTGTTGCTGGAATGTTTTAAATGGTATTTGACAAAAATTGGGATATTTATAGGTTGGTTTGTATCACTATGGACCTGATGCATAAGTTTATCTGACATCAGATTCTCAGGTGTTTTAGCTGCAGCGTTTTGTCTGCAGTAAATGGATATTTCAGTGATGGACACTTTGGAAACTTTTGATTCCCTCAGGGCAGATCATCATCTTCATAGTGAAATGAACATAACAACAGTGTCTGAAGACTACAATTTGAGTGATCATTTATATTTTAAACACTTTCAAATGCCCGTTTTGACTAATAGTAATAATTTTGTAGATGTTGTAAAAAGGGAGGGTTGCTGATAGAGTATAATCTTGATTAAACAACTTTACATCACATACAGGGAGCTTGACATCTGAAATCTGCTTTTAGATGACTTGCAAGTCAGCAGTGTTATCAGTTATTAAGATATCTGCATTAGAAATAGAGCCATATTACCTTTTTAGGAAGTTATGCTGCCACTAAACAGAATTTCATTTGTCACTTATAATATCTATGGGTGCCTTAACTTGTCCAAGTTGCATATCTTAAACTTGGGTTTGCAGTCTGGCTCAAGCAGTTCAGAAACCCAGGTGGACACGTCAGGCTTTGGATGAGAATCTTCATTTCAGTTTATCTTACCATTTCTCTGGTTGATTTAAACTACATGGGATACATAGTTTTAATTTTGCGTGGAATTCCTTTACCACTGTTTTAACTAATTCATTCAAAACCTTAGTTAAACTTGTGCAACTTCGTAAGTGCATGAAGTCCTACTGTACTTCACTTTTGTGCCATCGAGTCAATAAGGCTTCTAGTTTTATTTAATTTCTTGTGCAATTCTTGTGCAAAATGGTGCTAGGGAGTATCTTACTTGAATAGCAAACCTCTGATCTCCGATCTTCTGGCTCCCAGCTGAACTGATGGGGATGAAAACCATCTTGCTGAAGGAGGGGGATGGAATTAGAGAAACACTGGTTGGGTAGTTCCTCTGTGCTACTTCCTTGTCAGTCTTTTGCCAATGCTTTAGGTTGCTATAAATCTTAAAGTCCCAGGGAGGAACATCCCAGCTGATGTGATGATCTTTGCTATAAATCTTAAAGTCCCAGGGAGGAACGTCCCAGCTGATGTGATGATCTTTATTTATTAAAAGGGATGGGATTTTTTAGAAAGTGTCTCCTGTGAAGAACAGTCATACTTTAGAAAGTGTCTCCTGTGAAGAACAGTCACACAATCGTAGACTGGTTCATGTTGGAAGGAACCTTAAAGACCATCAAGTTCCAACCCCCCTACCATGGATAGGGACACCTCCCACTAGACCAGCCCTAGTGACATGGCCATCCTTGGCAGCTTGGGACAAGCCTTTCTGTCACCCTTCTCTGCCATTGTCTTCTCTCATGAGCTGTCTCCCTCTTCCACTCATTTCTGCATCTCCAAAGAAGGGATGTCCTGCTTTGTCCTCTTACATCCTGAGGATATCGTGAAGGATGCTCATAATAAATGTCTCTCATCTCCAGGATAATCTCTTTCTCATCTCTTATTCAGTCATTTCTCTTCATGGTCACTACTCTTTGACAAGACTCTGTCAACAAGCAGAGTACAGCAGAGGGCTACAAAGATGATGAGGGGCCTGGAGCATCTCTCTTACAAGGAAAGGCTGAGGGACTTGGGGCTTTTTAGTCTGGAGAAGACTGAGGGGGAATCTGATCAACACCTATAAATACTTGAAGGGTGGGTGTCAGGAGGATGGGGCCAGTCTTTTTTCAGTGGTGCCCAAGGACAGGACAAGAGGGAATAGGTACAAACTTCAATGTAGGAAGTTCCACCTAAACTTGAGGAGGAACTTCTTTGCTGTGAGGGTGGCAGAGCCCTGGCAGAGGCTGCCCAGAGAGGTGGTGGAGTCTCTTTCTCTGGAGACATTCAACCCCTGCCTAGACCCTTTCCTGTGGGACCTGCTCTGGGTGGACCTGCTTTGGCAGGGGGTTGAACTAGGTGATCTCCAGAGGTCCCTTCCAACCCCATAGCATTCTGTGATTCTGTGACAAGCGATAGTAACATGTGCTCAAGGACTTGAAGCTCTGAGGTGTGATCACAGAGCCATTAGAAGCACGACCTGTGGTGCAGAGCATGGTGTCCAAGTGGGAAACTTCTTTTAAAAAAAAAGAAATATACATAGATTTAGCATGGTGTCCAAGTGGGAAACTTCTTTTAGAAAAAGAAATATACATAGATTAAAAAAAGTCTCTGTAAAATTAGATGTGTGTGGAGCTGCCCAATGGCAGATTTTGGGTTGGAAGAAGAAAGTCTTCTCCTTACCTTTACCATAATCCTTGGTGTTGCTGTCAGCAGCCTAGCAATGTTTTAGAGGACTAATGTGACTTCTTTTCCTCTGGCTCTTTACAGTTAGAAGGGATATTTGACTTTGAGCTTTGTGCTTTGGGTAGGAGGAAAACTTTGTAGATCACGCACTGATTTTTCAAGAAGTTGGCAGTGTCTGTACTTAGACCTTCCCAAAAATATTGCTGAAATGTAACCAGATTTACAGAATAAACATGGCATGTCCCATGGAGAGGGAAGCAGAGGCACGAGAGGGTCAGTAACTCTTGAAGCCCTGAAGAAAGTCCCGAGGAGCTGGAGTTACTCCTGCTCCTGGTCAAAACCCATCAGAGTCTGGCCTTTCGCTAATGATTTTAAAAAAAGATTGCACAAAATGCTATTTATTTTTTTTATTCGTGGATGTAATCCGTCTTGTGGCTATTGTAACTAACATACAACTCACTGAAGTGCTGGCTTTAATTTTAATTCTGTAATTATAACACAAGTCTTTAATTTGCATAATATTATGTATAGGTCTGATCTTACTACACGTGCTGTAACAGCCTGGGAGGCTCTAGTAGAATATGTCCAATGAGTTAATGTGTTTATTATTCATTTTTTTAAAGTTTCTTTTCTGTTCCTAAGAATTACTGATGGCATTATTATTTATTTTTCTTCCTAGAAGTGGAAAGCTAAATAACCATTTAGAAGCTGCTATACACGAGGCCATGAGTGAACTAGACAAAATGTCTGGGAATGTAAGTGCCTTTTCACCTTAGCAATAATTCCCTTTTTTCTGCATTTCTGCACGTGTGTCAGTTGGAGACTGGGACTGTCCGTTTGGGTTGCTTTCTAATATAAATGTTTTTTTATTTTCTTGAATAACGTGGAAATTTCAATATTTCTCCTGCTTGCAAATGTCTGGTCATTCTGAAAAATGGGAAAAGTCGTAGCATTTAAGTTGTGTGGCCAATTATATTATTTTTTATCAGGAGAGATTCCTCGACATATTTCTACATGCGCAGCCTGATATTTGGGTCAGTTCCATTCCCACTCATATTCCATGGGTTTTCTCTGCCTCGTGACACAAAATCAGGCTCATTTCATTTTCAGTTTGAGTAGCAAGATACTGAAACCCCATTTAAGTGTCATTCTTATGAATGTGAAACTCTTTGAATAAAGTTTTCCCCCCATGATATGAAAGATAGTGTCATGGAAGGTAAGTTAAAAAGAAAAGAGTGTTCTTAATCTCAAATCTAATAGTTACACTGTTACTGTATAAGCCCAGGATCTTTCTAATGTATTTCTAATATAAAGTTTGGTTTATATAATGTACTCATCGTCGTATTGAAAACGTGGCTGTAATTTCATTGAAGTATATTGAGAAATGCAAAAAAAGTCTGTCACAGCACATATGACCTGCCATGTCTTGTCATTGATGACTATTCAAATTATTAATTATGAAATAGATCAATACATTAAAAAGGTCTTTTTCCTGATATTCGGTGCTCAGCACTGAAGGTGCTTGTGCATGTGCAAATTCAGAAGTTGTAGTAAAACTTCAGGGGAGCATCTGGAGGATCTAAAAGGAAATGTGTCTGAGCTGCAGGCTCAGAGCTGGCTGCAGAACCACTGAGAAATATTAAATAAGTTATTCAGTAGCTTTTAAGGGCTGATGTAAGTAATAACAAAATCAAATCTTTTGTTTAAACTTCTGAATTTAACAAAATGAGATTGATTTAAAATGATGGAGGTTTTCCTTTTGTCTTCAGAAGGAAAAGGAGAGCAGGATCTGACTGTTGGTCTGTTAGAAATAAATACCAAGGGGTGGGGGGTGTGTTTGGCACCCCCATCCCTGTGTGGGGTACGTGTGTGGGCTGGACCATTCCCCTGAGACCTTCTTTTCATTTATAAATCCAGGAGTACTAAAAAACTCTGTGCTATATGCATTTTATCTCCGGGGAAGCTGCTGTCGATGGGGTTGTTCGGACGAGCTGACGGACCTGCGTGTCGTTACATCGTCCTCCTCCTTTCTATCTTAATTAGTTCATCACACAATTTGTGATCAGGGTCGATTTCCATCAAGGTGATGCTTCCTGGCAACACTCGTAGGGAATCAGTGGTTCCCTTTTTAGTGACTTGCATTTTTTTTCAGCTACTACTGCTCAGACACGAGTTAAATTTTGAATTAAAAGCGCGTGCAAACAAGATAATTAGCTCCCAGCGTTATCGGTGAGAGCTGATGGATACGTAACAAATATTAGCGGTCTGAGGGAACGCAGGACGGACCCCAGGAAGTCATTTAGCAGGATGCTGAAGGGTTTGTTGCTGCTGGAGAGCTGCATCCTGCTTCCACCGACAGATGGTGGTGCCATTCCACGCCAGAGCCGGCGCCTCCCCCCCTCCCTTCCCCACTTGGGTTGTGTTTTGTGCTCAGCCCTCAGTGATGCTCGAATTAATCCAGCTCTTAACTCGAAACTGAACATTTCCTTTTCATGGTTAGATGGAGACAGACTTTACTAAACGTGGCCTGTTCCTTAACAACACCAGCACAGACCTGAATTTGACTTCTCTTTTTTTTTTTTTCCTCCTGTTACCAATATTTTGTCACCACCTTCTTCCTACTGTTTTGCTCTTGTCACGGTGATGTGCAAAGGTTTGTGGCTGAGAGTTCAGGACCAGAGGATCCACCGACAGATGGTGGTGCCATTCCACGCCAGAGCCGGCGCCTCCCCCCCTCCCTTCCCCACTTGGGTTGTGTTTTGTGCTCAGCCCTCAGTGATGCTCGAATTAATCCAGCTCTTAACTCGAAACTGAACATTTCCTTTTCATGGTTAGATGGAGACAGACTTTACTAAACGTGGCCTGTTCCTTAACAACACCAGCACAGACCTGAATTGGACTTCTCTTTTTTTTTTTTTCCTCCTGTTACCAATATTTTGTCACCACCTTCTTCCTACTGTACTGCTCTTGTCACGGTGATGTGCAAAGGTTTGTGGCTGAGAATTCAGGACCAGAGGAATCTGAAGTTGGGGCAGGGGAGGGTTAGATGAGATCTTGGGAAGAATGACTTTCCTGAGAGGGTGGTCAGGCCCTGGAACAGCCTGCCCAGGGAGGTGGTGGAGTCACCATCCCTGGACATATTCAAGAAACGTGTAGATGTGGCATTTTAGGGCATGCTCTAGTGCTGAGATTGTTGGGTTGGGTGTTTTGGTTTTTGGGGTTTTGGGGTTTTTTTGGTGGGTTTTTTGGGGTTTGGGGGTTTTTTTGGTGGGTTTTTGGGGGTTTGTTTTTTGGTGTGTGTGTGTGTATGGTTAGACTCAATGATCTCAAATGTCCCTTCCAACCATTCTGTGATTCTGTGAATTTGTTGTCATTGCAGTTTGGGGTTCAGTTCCTCATTATGTCATTCCACAATTACTGTAGCAGGTGCTTTTCCCCAGGTGCCTTTGAGAGGTACCAACTGTGACAGGAACCTTTGTCTCCCCCGTGCCTTAAAGTTCTTTAGTTCCTTTTAATTCAGGCTTCCACGTAGACATGAAATAATGACAACCATTTCATGACAGAGCTTGATGCAATCCTGTAGCTCGTTGTTTACTGGTTGGTTCCTTTGACCAATATTCTTTGCTAACTTCTAAATATACTTCTTTTTAGGTCCACCAAATCCCCCAGGGAGACAGACAAGTGAAGCCTCCAAAGCCCAAGAGGAGGAAGATCTCTAGATAACATTGAATGTCTTTGTTACTGGTCCAGTGCTTATCGAAACGAACGTGCACAAAAGTCTATGTGTAGGTATTGATATAGAGGTGGTTATATCAATATTTATATGAAGACGGATAGATCCCATCGCAGGGTGCTACACGGATTAGTGGTACAATATTTTTGATGATTAGGAGGGATAGCAGTTGCTGGATAAGCCAATCAGAAATCTTGGAAGGTTGCAGTAACAATGTCAGATGATTACTGAATTTTTTTTTTTTTTTTTTCTATAATACTAAAATTGTGATTATAAGAAATAGTCCAAATGTTTCTGAGAAATTTTCATTGTGTATATAGATAATACAGAATTTCATGGTGATATCTGAAATGTAAATATTGTACAATATTGTCATGTACAAGCGTACCTAATGCACACTTTATCTTTTATTGTACAAAAAATAGTGTACAAAATTCTTTGGTTTCTATTGAGTACACATACAAGAGACTACCAGTGTAAAGTGATAAATAAAAATACAGCCTAAATGCTTTTATATGATAATGTAAAAGATGCTGTTTTTGTATTTAACAGCAGAGAGAAGGCATGATTATGTAATACCTTAATTATGACATACACTTCACGCCACTTTGAGTGTCCATGGATGCTGTCTGTTTGGAATGAACCTTGCCTGGAAGCGCTGTGCTCCCCTCAGGGCTCTGTAGGAAGAGCTGCAGAGATTCCCCAGGGGGTGTGGGATCACAGCTCTTCACTCAGAACTCAAAAGGCTGCAACGAGCCGTTGCGTTTTTATTTACTTAACTTTTAAAGTAGAAAACGCTGTAGATTTTATTAAAAAGGAAAAAGAGAAAAGAAAAAAAAAAGTTAGACTATTTTAGTCAACCGTTTTCTGTAGTTAAAGTTTCATAGCCACCTGAGAAACTAAACAGTTTATACCCCCTCCTCTCCCCTTAACGTTGACCCCCCTCAAAACCCCTAGATTTATTAGCTTAAATTATCTAATGTCATTAACCATCGTGTTGACTTTCCAGGGGGCAGAGGCCCTGCCTTTAATAATGTGATCGGGATCAATTACGGTTTGGTTTCGCAGTAGAATGAAAGGGCAATGCTCTGTGCTCCACAGCATTCCCAAAAGGAATTCCAGTATCCAGCTCGCAGTATTAAAACAAAATTAAAAAATTAAGGGTGGCTTACAAAACTATTAGCAACAGTAATTTTTATCAGTATTATGTAACATATCAGATTTATTTTATTTAAAAAGAATTATTTATACCATTAACAGATTCTTATATATATTAATGTGGCTGAAATGTGCAGGTTAAATCTATTAACCAAATTATTTATGTTATATTAAGTGAGAAATGTGAAACATATGTAGAGAAGAAAAAAAAAAAATTAATACACTACAGATTTAAAAGTCTAAAGCTATGAGCCATTATAAAATTAACGACCGGAAGTGTAGCACAACATGATTTCCATTTTATTTCCAGTTTTTTCTTTTGAACACGGATGGTGGTGATGGTGATGGAAGCCGTGTCTCCAGGGCTTCCCAAAATAACTCTCCGATCACCATTCCTGGTCCCGGGGTGGAGTTTGTACCCCCCCACCACCACCTCTTCGTCCGGGACCACCACGTTACCTCAGATTTCCTTTTATTTTTTTCCCTCCCCCCTAAATTCCCTAAAAAATCGGACTTTTTAGCTAAGGACTGGCAGTGATCAGCATCCTGGGAAGCCGGCGGGATCGCCGCTCTCCAGATCCCCGGCCCCCGGGCGCCAGGATCCACCACCCCATCCTTCCCCACTCGGGTCCCAACCAACCTCCTCTCTTGGGAAGGAGGTGACCCCCCAAACCCCAACCGTCCCCTGGAGGACGAGGGGACCCGGTGCCCTTCCCAGCTACCTCTGGGCTGGCCCCTGGGCTTCCTGGTGTCTGGCAAAGCGGCTCTCCCTCCTCCTTGCCCAACCCAAGGGATCGCCGTGGCCACCTTGGCTACAGGGGCCTGGAGGCAGGAGCCCTTCCTTCCACGGGGTAGGTTCATTTGTCTTCTCCATAACGCCACCGTCCTCCACGCCACGCTCACGTGAAGTGATTGAGTTGATTTGACTATTTTTCTTTTCATTTTTAATTAATTTTTTGGGGGG